TCCCCACCCCATACACCTCTGGCCTGTACCCCAGTTTGCATGCATGAATAAATTAATCTTTAAAAAAAAATAAGAAAAAAAGTGACCCAGATATCTGCAGCTCACAGAAATGGGAGAAGTTAAGTGAACTTTGCACAGGCTACTCAGTTTCGGAAATGCAGGACCCCGCTGGAGCCCAAAAGTCTCTGACCCCAAAACTTTTCCTACTCCATTATGTTACCACCTGCTGTGCGGGCAGAGTGAGTGTGTGATCCAGTGCCCACCTCCTGGGGAGAGGGAGTCTCAGAGACTGGGCAGGCAGCCCAGGGGTCCTGAGGAGAGCTCAGGCAGGAATAGGCAGGGAAGAAGCCTGGGTGTGTGGCGCCAGGAAAGACTCCCCACCAGAGCAGGGGGCTTTAACCTTGAAGACTGCACAGAGGGTGGTGCCTGCGGGCGGGCGTAACAGCCAGAACCCTGAGCCCCTGCGTGAAGAGCAGGGAGACGTGGGGAGCAGACTGGTGGTCTGGGACAGAGATGGGGCTTCCAGGCACAGGAAGCCCAGGGGGCAGGCTGAGGAGCGTGGACCTGTCGGGCCAGTAGGTGCCACTTTGCAGCCTGTAAGTCGCTTGTCTAGGGGTCACCTTCATGCCAGCCACTGCCCCTCCTGGCAGGCTGCTGTCTAGCTGCCCCAGGCCAGCATAGTAGGCCAGTTGCGGGTGCTCACACTTCCCAGTCCTATTTTATGGCCTTATTTACAGTTGTAATTAAGAAGTAATTGGGAAGTGAATCATGTTCATGTCTCTCCGTTAACGGAATGAAAGCTCTAGGAAGACAAGGGCACGTGACGGGCTGTGAGTGCTGTGTGTGTGGTAGAGACGGGGTGGGGGGTGCGTCTCCAGCGGGGGGGGGGGGGGCGAGTGGGCCCCAAGGCAGCAGGCAGCCTGGGAGCGTGAGTACCAGACCGTCTTTCCTCCCCACCCTCACACTCCTCAACCTTCTCCCCTCGCAGGTGGCTTCTGGCTTGGTGTCGACCAGGAAGGGGCAGAGGGCACCCTGTCTTGGGCGGGCACCCTCTTCGGCATCCTCGCCAGCCTCTGCGTCTCGCTCAACGCCATCTACACCAAGAAGGTGCTTCCGGCGGTGGAGGGCAGCATCTGGCGCCTGACCTTCTACAACAACGTCAACGCCTGTGTGCTCTTCCTGCCCCTGCTGCTGCTGCTGGGGGAGCTCCGGGCGCTCTACAGCTTCCCCCAGCTGGGCAGTGCCCACTTCTGGGGCATGATGACTCTGGGGGGCGTGTTTGGCTTCGCCATTGGCTACGTAACAGGCCTGCAGATCAAGTTCACCAGCCCCCTGACCCACAACGTGTCCGGCACGGCCAAGGCCTGTGCCCAGACAGTGCTGGCCGTGCTCCACTACGAGGAGACCAAGAGCTTCCTCTGGTGGACGAGCAACATGATGGTGCTGGGCGGCTCCTTCGCCTACACCTGGGTGAGGGGCTGGGAGATGAAGAAGACTCAGGAGGAGCCCAGCCCCAAGGAGGAGAAGAGCAGCATGGGGGTGTGAGCTCCCGGGACCTGGAGGACCCAGCGGCGAGCACGCCCAGGGTGGAGCCAGGGAGCGTGGCCCTGAGGGGATTGGTCACAGACCTGAGGGGGATTTGGTGGTTGGAAGGGAGCCAGTGTTTGCAGCTGGTTCTGCCCCTTCCCTCTTTCTGGGGTGCTGTCCTCTCCTCAGGTCAGGGGTCCCCAGGGGAGCGGCTAGCTGGTTCTCTGGATGAGCACAGGCTCTCGGAGTGAAAGCCAGGAGGCTGCACCCCCCTGCTACCTGTCCAAGGCCTTCTACCTCCACGAGACCTTTGGGGTTGGGGATGGGCCACGGCCTCTAAGGGACAGTACTGGTGAAGCCAGTACTCTTCTACTCAGGGCAGGTGGGTGTGCGACCCCACTCTGGGCCTCTGGAGGGAGTCGGGAAGCCTCGCCTCTCTGTGTGCGGGGGCAGGCGATGTACCTCTGACCCTCACCCCAAACCTGCCTTCCCTTGGGAAAAGTTTGGGCTGAGAAAATGGACAGGTAGGTGTTCCGCTCCTCTACCCAGAGACCAGCAGGCCCCATGGAAGGGGCAGAGGGTCGAGTATACCCCTGCTCGGCCCTGACACCCCTAGGGACTGCTGGGAGGTAGCCTGGAAATGGGGTACACCTTGGGGAAGCACCCTTTCCCTACTCTCTCACCTGTACTTCCAGCGTTTGAACATGGGGGATCCAAGAGTGTTTTACCATGTAAGGAGGATCACTAAAGTGTCCCCCAGTCCCTGGCACCAGTCACCTGGTTCACTCCTCTGTCCTGAGCGACCATTGCCCCCTGGGCTCAGAGCCCCTGGTACAGCTGCCTGGTTCAGGGAACAGCCCCTTGGAAGTGGCACCTCTCTGCCCCCAGTTCTGAGCCCCCCAAGTTTCATCCCCAGCAGAAATGTTGGAGCCAGAGTCTCCCCCACCACCACCACCCCAGGCTACGCTGGGCTTCCCACTTCCCTGTGGGGCAGGTGTCCTGACTGGCTGGGAGCCTCTTTCCTTGGGAGGTGAAGCAGGGGCATCCCCCTGGAGGCCCGGGACCGTCCCCCTCCCCACCCTCTAGCCTCCAGGTGACCTTCACAGCCTCCTCCCTTCTGTTCAGCCATCTCCTCAGAGGCCATTCCCAGTGTTTTCACTCCCTATAGAAAGATCTGAGTCCCCACAATCCCAGGAGGGTGCTAATGAAGTTGGTGGGGCCTGATGCCCTAAATGATTCGATTTAATTAAAAATTGGACTAAGGCATCCTGTGTGCTTCTGTGGAGTAAGTAGAGAAGACACGGTCAGAACAGGATTTCGGAGAGGACTTGCGGAGAAGCGGGGTTCTGTAAAGGGCAGAAACGCTCCTCCCTGCCCTCCCCACGCCACCACACGCCCTGCAGTGATACCACCACGAGCCCCTGTGGGCATGGCAAGCTCAGGAAGGAGGAGGCAGAACCCGTCACTGTATCTGGCATTTGGGGGGCACCGACCATGTGCCAGGCCCCACCATGTGCTCATGTGAAGACCTGGGTGTGTTTTGAGGGGCTCACACATAGAAGAGGAGCCAAGGTCTCGTAGCCATGCACCCACACAGTAACTTCCTGTGCGACAGCCTCGAGGTGGAGAAGCCACCTTCCCGGGGCCAGGCCACCTGCACTGTGTTCTTACCTGGGTCTGCGGAAGGCTCCAGGGAAAGAGCATCCAGCCACTAAGCTGGGAAAAGAGCATGTTTGGGGCGTAGTGAGAGAGGGGGTGCAGTGACTTGAGGCCCAAAAGGGAGGGAAGCTGGGTGTGAAAGAACTTGAATGTGTGGTCAGCCTGACGATGACTCTCAATGTTCAAGCCATCACCAGGTTCCGTAAAAGCTTCCTTTGCATGATGAGAGAAAATTGAGACATTCTAAACATTACTTGCACTTTCTAAGATAGTGTTGTTTTTTTTTAAGATTTATTTATACATACAGAACTGGGGTACAGGCCAGAGGCACGGCTGGGGGCGGGGACGGTGGGGAGAAGGTTCACCAGAGACGGAGTGGGGAGCAGAACAGGAGACCCACTGAAATACACTGCTGAGAGGTGCAGCAGGGAGACAGGAGAGGTCTGCTGTGCCATGTGGGTGGGTTCCATGGCCGGGAATCGAACTTAGGCCACAGCAGTGATAGCGCTAAGACTTAACCCCTAGGCTGCCGGGAGGCCCCAAGACTTCTTAATTGTGAACACAACGCTTAGCCACAGCCCCAAAGGATGGAAAGGAGCCGGCCTCGGGAAAAGCTGGGGAAAGTGCCAAGGTGCCAGGGCTACCGCCCATGCAAAGGCCCTGGGAGGGAAGAGTTGGCCAGACACCACAGTGAGGGCCAATGTGACAGGAGCAGAGTCAGGGGACCTGTCTGCTGTTCCCACTGGGGTTCCAGTTCCCAGAGGACAAAACCCCAAAATAGGAAACGAGGTAGGAACAGCTTTGGCAACTCTGATATTCCTTGGTGTGTTTCCGCCCACCTTGGAGGGAGGCGCCAGAGGCCAAGGTCCAGACCGGGACACCATGTCGACCTCATCCAGCAGGTTCACTTTATTCTCCTGGGGGGCACCCAGGGGACCCATGACTTGGTTTATATCTTAAGAAGGCCCCCTCCCTCTGGCTGTTATGAGGAGAATGAATTGAGGCCAACGTCAAGGGCCTCAAGGATGGGGGCCAGTCAAGAGGTGCAGGAGAAAAACGGCCATGACAGGTGGCAGCCTGGAGACGGGGTTGGGCCTGACCGGAGGCAAAGCCAGGGACCTTCCAGAGGGGGTGGTGTAGGGTGAAGAGAAAGAAGCAATCCCAGAACAATGCCCAGACGTACCAACCGGGGAAGAAGGTACCATGGACTGGACAGCGAGGACAAAGGGCACAGAGGTGGGCTTGGAGCCAAGAGTTTACTTTGGACATACTAAGTTGCCCTGGCAGTAGGTGGACACTAGACATCACCCTGGGATGTTAGGACGATAGTAGCAGAAAGCACTAAAGAAACAGCTTGTTTTGCTACTCACTGATGCCTAACATGGTATCCCAAAACTTGGCAGCAGAAAATAACTATTTTCTTTTGTTTGTGATCTTGCGGGTTGAGAAAGCTGCAGCCGAGCAGTTCTTACTTGGAGCCTCGCAGGCAGCAGCCTCAGACGCTAGCTGGGGGCCCTGGTGTCTGGAGGGTTAGCTGGGCTGCGGTCCCATTGCCTGCTTCCCCTCTCGCTCCGGTGGCTGACTCAGGCCTGGCTGCCTGGGAGCTTCGCTGGGGCTGTCATCTGCGGCATCTGCCGTGGCCCCTCCAGCATGATGGTCTCGGGGTGAGGAGGACTCGGTGGTTGTGGCTTCTCCCAGAGAGTATATCCCAAAAGGAGCAGGTGGAAGCCTTCCCTGAGCTGACCTGGGAAGTCACACAGTCCAATTTCTGCCTTTTTCTATTGGATTCAAGTCGTTGCAAGCCCACCCAGGATCAGGGGTGGGAGACAGTCCCCAGCTCCCTTGGAAAGAAAGGCAAAGCATCCTGGGACGCCCTCGGCCCCTCACTGATGGCCGTAATCCATGAACAAACATGACAGCACGAGTCTGAGTTGAGTCCCGGTAGCTGGGGAGGTGCGACACCCCCATTCAGAGGCCCAACACCCCATTCAGAGGCCCAGCTAACGCTCCAGCCCCACCCTTCCTTGCCAGAGCGCCCAAGATGTCTTCTTGGTACTCAGAGCTGGGTGCTCACATTGTGCCTGTGGCTTTTCAGAACATTTCCTCATTTATAGTCATGACTAGCTGGACTACAAAGGATCAAGATTGTGGAGATTATCCAGCCTAGAAATGAGCTTCCTGTCTTGCTTCACGGATTGTGGATGATACCATTTAAGCTGCCTCTAGCCACAGCCCTTGGAATATTAATGTTATAAAATCCCCAAAGCATTGATATTCATTCTCTCTTTCAGTTAATATGTATTGGGCACCTCCTGTGTACAGACGCATATCAGAGGTGTGGACGTCCCTGCATTCTTGGAGCCTGGCAAGAAGACAATGACAGTAGAAAAAAAATTAAAGTTAAAAATATGTGCCACATGATGGGAAACCCGCGGGGATTACAATCGAGATGTAAAAAAAATTTAAAAAAAAATTTTAAAAATGTGCAAAAAAAAAAGATATGTGCCACATGGGTGACTTGGTGATGGGAAACCCATGGGGATTACAATTGAGATGGAAAAAAAATGCACAAAATGATGTAAAAATAAACTATTATATATTTTTTAAAAACACTGCTTTTTTACAATAAAAAAAATATATAAGTGCCACAAAGAAGATCAGGCCTGATTACACAACTCAAGTGTCAGGGCTATGAGGTTAGATCCAGGGGACAGAGAAGGATCAGTCAAGATCTAGCGTGGTAAAGGAGCAGTCAGAAGACAGAAGAAGGACTGGTCTGAAGGTGCAGCACAGAGGTCGGCAGGTGTGAAGGTCCTGAGGCAGGTGTGAGGTTGGCGTGAATAGTGAGGACAGGTAAGGCCACCGTGGCGAGAGATCTGAGAAATGATGGCAGTGAGTTTGTCAGTCATAAGATTAGTGAGATTTCTTCTAGCGACTGCTGAGAAATCAACCGAAACTGGTTGGATCTGTCTTAATGGTTGATCTATCATCAGCCACCTTCTACTCCTCCCATCATCATCTGCACATATTGCATTTTCCATCAAGAGGACTTGAGTCTGGGCTGATCTTGTGACTCGCTCTGATACCCACAGAACACAGAAAGATGCAGGATACACTCTGGGTAAGGGGCCCCAGCCAGCAGCCCCCACTTATCTGCCAGCTGAATGCAGGCGTTGGTGATCCCAGAGAAGACCAGCAGAAGCTGGCTACCAGCCAACCCAGACTGCAGAAAAATCAGGAGATTGGCATTTTAAGCCTCTAAATGATGGGGCGACTTGCTACACAGCAACAGATAACTGACATACCAGCCTAAGTGATGAGGGAACGGTAGTTAGGTACTTGACCGCTGGAGGACCTTGGCCAAGGTCAAACACACACAGTTTCCCAGCTTGACTCAAGAACTTGAAGGGTTGGATCACAGGGGTAGCAGCTATTTGCAGGTCCTTCCACCTCGCTGCACACTACCCCCTTTGGAAAGTATATTCCACCTCAAGGGGCAGACAGGCCCTGGAGGCAGCCTTCTCAAGACAGCCACCCTTCAGAATCCTTGAGGGAGAAGGTTCCAGCTCTAGCACTTCATTCTTATAAAATAATATATATATTTACTAGGATGGACTGCTAATATTTCAGAAAAGACCAGGAGACTGTGTTAGTGGCCAGTTATATCAGGAACTCAAGTAGGGGCCCCACGCCTCCAAATTAGGCTTGTCATTGACACAGGGCAAGCCAAGTTCCTCATCGTCCTGTCACTTGGCCACATCCCCCCCAGGCCCTGGAGATGGATCAGCAGAGACTCAACAAGGAGGCCGTGTTTCTGCTGACTGAGAGGCCTCTGTCCCTGCTCTCTTTGTCCCTCTCAGTAGCTGACACTGCCACCACAGCCCTGCAAACACACGCACCACACTTCCCTGCCTTCGGCTGAAGGAGTGCCTGCTGTTCCCCTAAGCAAGAACCCAGAAAACGTCAGTTTTGAAATCCAGTAAGATTACCTGCCCCCTCCGCCTGGCCTTGCTCCATGTTACAGCAGAGTCTAGGCTGTGCCTTTCCTCCCCGGGGAGAGGTGAGTTCAGCTTTCCTGAGTGATGGAGGTGACTGGGGTCTCAGTTCCAGGGCCCCTGAGCTTGGCGCCTGCCCACCCCCACTTGCGGGACAAGTGTTCTGGTGACCAGACCATATCTGGGAGGGAGCATCTGTGTGCCGAACATTGGCAAAGAGAAGGCAAAGACTCCCTTGCCCATTCCTTTGGCTCTTGGTTTTGCCTGTCTTAGAGGTGGCCCAGGAGAAGGTGAGGCCTAATCCTATTCATGGTCATCTCGCCTTGCTATTTGATTAGAGTACAAGCTCCCATAGGATTTAGCCAAAAAGATAAGGCTGGTTGCTTCCCACCTCCGGTAAAAACTCCGGTGTGTCCGTGAGAGCTCAGTGTCCTCAACTCTGACCCACAGAATAGCCTGGCAAGTTTTCTAGGCAACCCTCAGAACACCACCATTCTTTATAGGTGCTGGAGGCAGGGGACACCCCTATTCCACAGAACCCTGCATGTGTGTGTTTGCATCCCGTGCCCTGCTTAGAAGCCTCATGATCCAAATCTAACCATTTCGGTGAAGGGGGGCGCCCAGGGCAGGGCCGCGGATCCGGGGGACACAGGCTGGTCTTCGGGACACCCGACAGAAATGGACCCCGAGGTCTATGTCCTTAATAAATGTTATAGCTTCTCATGCTGAATAGCTCAAAGAAAAAAGCATCACAGTTGGCTTTGAGGGAAATTTTGGAAACTGGAAAGCCTCCTGGGGGAACGCGGGCGGAGCCCAACCTGAGGGCTCTGTCCAGTCTCTTTCCCAGTCCCAACACTAGAGGGCGCTGGCAACTTGAACTCGCCAGACGTCACTCCCGCCCGCCCCAGGTTACACTTAATCAGTTAACGATATTTACCCAAAGTATACAGCGCAATGGGCGTGTAAAAGGCTGCTTAATCCAATCTCCCCCGCAACACTATAGTAAAATACAAAACAGGACTGATAACTTCTCACATATTTTCAGCGGATAAAGAAACCTCCCACTGCCTAGCTGTTTTTTTCTTATTCCTAAACTCCCTTATACTAAGTTCTGCCTTAAATCTCTTAGGCTTCCTAAAAGATGTTAGATTCTTTTCTTTTGTCCCACCTTTACTTACAGGAAACAAGAAGCAATTGTTTAGTGTCTTCATGGCAACCATTCCAGAAATGCTTGTCAGTAACAGGTGTATAGCTATGAGATCTAATCTCCAACCCATTATCTCTCAGAGATAATAGTACTGGTTACATTGTAGCTCTTCCCCATTTACAGGTTTCCTTGATCTCTCGCCCCTTTCTCTTTGTCTATTTAAAGTGTAAAATCCAAAACTGAACTTTGCACACCATGGCTCTCTCCAGTGCCAGGTTTTATTTCCTGGTTTTTAAATGTTACCCTCTGAATAGACAATATACAACCATTCAATAAAATAAGTCACCTTTATAGACTTGAGGAAGGATTATTGGTCATTAAAATAGCAAACACAAGGACAATGACATGGCAATAACACAATTTGCTTCAGAACAGGTGCAACACTTTACTCCTGCTTTAGTTAAAGTGGCAAAAAAGGTGTTTATGGGCAAAGCCTAAAATGCAACATGAAGATTTTAAAAATTATTTATTTGGCTTTAGGGATTTATAGTGATTCTCTCTATCTTTCATGATTAGTATAATTTTGAGGACTTTGAAAAAAGTAAAATGTTTCATTCACAGATCGTTTTATGGAAGTCGTTCTGTGTAAGACCCAGGCTGAGGTATTGCAATAAAGACCAAAACACATAGATCCCGATGCTCAGAACAACAGCTGATATTTATAAAATGTTTATTGTAGCTTAGCTACTTTGACCATTTCTAGTGTAAATAGGTTAAGAAAGTGAGGGACAAAGAGGTTAATCAGATTACCCAAGGTCATACAGAGTAAAAGCTGAACTAGAATTTGAGCATGTTATTCCAAATGTGCTAAGACCTTGGGTCTAATTATTGTATCACAGTGCCTCTCAAGACAGTGTAATAAGATAGAAAGGGATCATAGTCAATCATTCAGTAAATATTTATTGAGCACCTGTTGTTTGTCAGGCACCAAACTAGGCGCGGTGGTTACACAGATGAGCAAGATAAGCACAGTCTCTGCTATTATGGAGCTCATAGTTTAGAGAGAAAACATCTTGGGCATTCAGAGGAGAAAAAGAGAAGGGTCTCTATCTCTGAGGCTATAGGAAAGACCCTTCTCCTTATATTCTGTTTGATTCCTAAAAGAGCATCAACCCTAGCAGAAAAGAGGGGATTAGAGAAGGGGAGAACACAAAATCTCAAAAGAAAGGTAGTGAGAGGTGGCATCTGTTCATTCAGGAAGCATTTGGAGAGGGGATTCAAAAATAAGAACACTGTGAGTGAGGACTGTGATGGAACCTTAAGGTTCCTGACAACTTGAATCCTTGCTCAGATTTTACATATGATAAGTGTCAAATACTGTTCTAGACTCTGGAAATCACTATCATAAATAAGGCATGGTCCCTGCCCTCCAGGAGTTTAGTGTCTAATGTGGCAGTCAGACAATTAAGAAATTCCATGACATGTACTAAGACCAGAAATCAGAAGCAGCACAGATGGGGATGGGGCATTGTGCAAGCTGGGGCCAGACAGTAAGAACGTGCATAAATATATTTGACACAGGACAAACAAGTTAGAAAGGGGATGGAGTCAGGAGTGAGATCCAAGGAATAACTTGCACAGTTTCTGTGTAATGAAATGAAAGAGAGCCTCATATGATGCTCCAATTTATAGACTGATGCCAAATAATGCCAATAAATTGTTAAATTCCTTCAGTGCTCATGGCCAAGTTCAGGAACGGTTCTGAAAAGGTTCTGAACCCACGCCCAAATTGAAATAACCTATTCTCCACTTGATAACCCAGAACCCAAACTGACTAAGTCTTTTTTTTGGGGGGGGGGGGTTTGGAGGAGACAGAAGTTGGGAACAACATCATCTACATCTCTAACACCCATAAGGAATCCAGTACAGTGCTTCATGAACAGAGAACCATAGATCTGCAAAGAACAGTTCATCTGACAGCAGAATTACTATCTCAGGCCTCTTCATCCACATTCCCAGTCCCTGCTCCCAACCCCTCCACTGTTCCTTAGACAGGCCCTTGCAAATGCAGGGAACTCAGTACAGATCACAGCATAACTTGGTGGATAAAAGCAGAAGCTCCGGATTCGCAATAATCTGGGAGGAGTTATTTTATTAGTTTTAGGATATTGAGCAATTCAATTATAAAATGAGATTAACTCCTTCACTGGGGGTTGTTGAATGAATGTCACTGAGCTAAGTTGAGAGTAGTAAATGCGACCGTTTATATAAGGAAATGATCACGCTGCTAGGCATATAAAAGGCACTCAAGAATGATAGCAGTAACAGAGTGATGTGCATAATGAAATAGTAAGGAGGTGATGATGCTGACGTAGAGCACTGGTTGTCAGTCTTGGAAGTCACTGGATGTGACTTCACCACAACCAAGGCTACTACAGGCAGCTTCTTCCGGCAGGCCGGCCCTGGACCGGACGCTTGGAAGACACCGTGGTCGCCGGTTACAGCCCACACCCAGACCTCCGCGGGGCGCGGCCGCCTGCGTCACTCAGGGGCCCGGAACTCCACCTAGGCGGGTCCACACATGGTGGGAACGTGAGGAGGCGGGGCCGGACGCGGCGGCGCTGGCCAATCACGCGGCAGGAGGAGCTCAGCCAATGCCAGAGGCGCTCCAGGACTCGAGGGGCGGGGCCGGGAACAGGAATGGCGGTGTCATAGGTCACTGGGCGGTCTGGGGCGGGGCCCGCGTCGCTGGCTAGGGCGGAGCGGCCGTAGCCCCGGAGTCGAGGCGGCGATGGCGACTGCGGCGGTGACGGCGGCCGCGGTGTCCCCGGCGCCGGCGGCCGTGGCGGAGGGCGCCTCTTCAGTGCACTGGTTCCGCAAGGGGCTGCGGCTTCACGACAATCCCGCGCTGCTGGCGGCCGTGCGCGGGGCGCGCTGCGTGCGTTGCGTTTACATCCTCGACCCCTGGTTCGCGGCCTCTTCCTCGGTCGGCATCAACCGGTGGAGGTGAGGGGGCCCGGGGATGGGTCGCGGGCCCGGGCGGGGGCAGCAGCCTGACGTCTGGGGCACCTGCGGATAGCCCTGGTACCCCTCACCCAGAGGAGGCGGCCCTGTCGCCGGTCCCCCTGGCCAGAAGACCCCGGCCTGAGATAGGCGGGCCACGGAGACGGAGCTGGGTCTCCGGAGGGGAGAAGCGGAGCCGGGACACCACTGGTCGTGCTGGTAGCCTGGGTGGGCCAGGGCGCAACCTCTGACAGCGCGCTTTGCCACTGTGTGGTCTCCCGTGGGCCTCTGACATGCCTCTGGGACAGAGGCGGTGATCCCCGTGAACAGGGGAAACTCTTGAGCCCTAGAGACGCAGAGACCTGCCCAAGGACTTGCAGTCAGCCAGTGGTGGAACAGACCCCTGATCTGTGTCTCTTAGGGGTGTGCTGGGGAGGGAGGAAAGGCAGGTGTGGTGTGAGCTCAGGGACAGGCTTGTGAAGCCATGGCCGGGCAGGTGCTGCATTCTTCAGGTGAAGGACCCATCGGTGGCCACCTGACCTGAAGGTCATCTCTGAGCCTTGGGTTTGTTAAATTTGTCCACTCACCTAGCCTGGCTTACCTCACCGCGATCATCCTGCCTCTGAAGGTGTCTAGGGACCCTGTCTTAGCATTAGGTAAGAAAAATTCATCCACCTTTTTTTTTTTTTTTTTTTTTAAATAAAGATCTCAAGAGGATGTTCAGTTAGAGGCACTCTGTGTTCTGAACCCGAGAACATGCCTTAACTCATTTTGGAAATTCCCTCATCAGCTATGAGCTTGCTGGAGGGAGGGAGAGAATAAGTACAAAGTGTCACTTTCTTCCTCCTCCTGAGATTTATTGCAAGGGACAGTGGATGGATCCCTGTAGATTAACCTTTTATCAACTGAGGTGCTGAGGGTAGTGAGAAGGAGAGCTACATCAAGCCCCCTCTCTGATGGCTGCCAGGAGATGGAGCTGACAGAATCATGGGAAAGAAATAATAGGTAGGGAGTGGATGTGTTTTCTGCATGTGTGCGTCCTCAAGTCGACATCAGGTAGGCGCCTGTCTCTCCAAAAACAGCTGCAGCACTTGTTCGCACTGTTCTGGAGGATATTTGCCTGTGACCTCCTTGCACAGGGTTATTTTCAAGAAACCGCGCACTCAGTCTGCCATTCTTTCTTCTCTAAGGTGTGTGCCCTGCTCTTGGCACTGGGCCAATTAAATGCCCCCTCCTGCTCCCTTTATCTGCATCGACTGTAGTCCTGTGGAGAGCCTGCCACAGTGTTCAGGCCACCTGTTGCTCTGCCTCTGCTCCAGTTTCTATAGATAGGAGGTTGGTTTGACAAACATTCTCAAATGACCATCCGCAGAATGGACATTTAAATCAAGCCTCTTTGCCCCTCTCCTGTGGCAGCGTGCCAATCAGGGCAGGCAGAGTCAATAGAATCTGACTGCCTGCTTGCTACATTGTCACAAAGCAGTTTCTTCTTTAGGGTTTTGGAGCACATTGCGTAGAGAGACCTGTCCCTTTGTGCTAGCAGAGATTAAGCATCAACAACAAAAATTCTGTGGTTTCTTAAACTCAGCTTTGCTGGGAACGAGGTGTTCATGGTTTTTTGTGGGTCATGCTTTTACGATTATGCTTTTGAGCAAGTGAAGGAGGAAAAGGAGTGTGGTAGCTCAGGTGCCTGAGTCAAATCCTGAAGTCAGAGGCCAATAGAAAGCAGATAGAAGTGAAGCAATTACTTCATTTATGTTTTTTATTGAAGTCATTGCATTGTAGCATTATATGAGCTTCAAGTGTTCATTGTTGGAGCAATTATTTTAATGAGTGCCTACTATCTGCCAGGTACTGCCTTAGGTGCTGCTAGGCTAAGGCAGTAAACCAGCAAATGCCATGTGCAGAGCCCCGGAACCTGTTTTTAGTGGAGAGAGATGCATAAGTGACCATAATTTAGTAGAACTAAATGTCGTGAAAACAAAACCAAACCAAACCAGGGGAATGGGTTTATAGCAGGGGGGCCCAATCCCGATGAATTTGTACTCACTAAAGGATCTTTCCAAGATACATGGGCTCCTTCCTACCCTAAGTGTGATTTATTTGCTCAGGATCATGGCCTGGACATCTTGGTTTTTAAAACTCACGAGCAGCGAAGCCAGAGAAGCCGTCGCCTTGAGAGCCACACACCTGGCTTGGACAACAGGAAAATTGAAGTGCTTTGCCAGGAAGTCTAATTAGCATGGCTTTCAGAAGAAAGAAGTGAAATAACACCAAATAGATCGAACTTAACGATGCTTTTAGGACGCGGTCACTTCTGCCATGCTCCTTGCCCCCATGCTGCAGAGGGCCGAGCTGCAGACTGTTTTGGGCACTTGATTGGGGCCTGGGAAAGCACTGAGCCATGTGGACCCCTCGTAACTACAGTCTGTCAGACCGGTGGCTGTTTCTGGGTCTGGGAGAGTTGTGTTGTAGCACAGTGTCCTAGTTCTGCAAATACAGCCTCTACCGTCTCTGAGGAGCCTCCCTCCTTGCGGGAGGGGGTGGGGGGCTGCACCATCTGCAAGAGTTGGGGGAATGGAAATCTGTGATCTCTGTTATCCTGCACTTCCTACAGACTCCCACACAGTGTTTTTTGGCAGATGAATCAGATTAAAATAACCATGCATGGCAATTTGCAAGAGTAAAAGAATATAGAGAAAGGCAGCTGAGAAATCTGTGTTCATTAGCATTGAGCGAGGGCTGGCACACCCCTTGCGTGGCGGTAGTGGGAAGCGCGGGGGCTGTGTGCGCCTCTGGACTCATGCAGCACCAGTTGGCCAAGCTCTTCCTCCTTATCCAGCATTAAATAAACGGGGGAGGGAAAAGAGAATGTGAGCAGCTTTCAGATTTTAAAATGGGAACACAGAATAGGCTCCTGTGGTTTTGCCCTTCCTACTACAACTTATATAGTGGCAACAATTCCCTTCACCCTTTATTTCAACCACTTTGTCCCTGGCTCTGTCCTGCACCTGCCTTCAGGAGCTTTTGGGACAGAGGGATTTGGCAGAATAAAGAGGTTCCCTCTCAGCCCATTCTATGCAGAATCAATAAATGAAGTGAACAGGGAACTCCCCAGGATGGCTGGTGAGCACAGGTGTCACTTCGCAAATGCTGGGAGCTAAATGCTCTTCAACGGTCAGGTCAGTGTGGATGGCTCTTCCCTGGAGCTTGGTCAGCAAGAAGACTGACCCTAGTCTACTGGCAGAGTAATTTGAATTGTTCACGTTGGTCCCGAGCAGCTCTCTTGGCTGTCTGCTGCTAAGGAAAAGTTTCCGTTTGCCCAAAGGGACAAAAGTCTTCACCTTTATTTTTGAAATTTGGAAAGAATATGCATATGTTTTTGGGTCGATTCTAAGAGATCAGCCCCTCCCATGGATTGTGGGTTTATGTTATCTTTTCCCCTGGGATTTCACTACTTAGGAGAAATTAATTTCTATTAATATCCTGTGTAACCATCTGGCCCACTCTGTGATATCACCGTTATAGTTACATTACCTTGGATTGAAGCAGAAAAACTTGGTCAAGGGCTATCTGGACCCAAGAAGGAGTTCACTACCACACTCTTTCCTTCTGTAGCAACAAGTAAAATATTCCCCAACACAGAGTCGACCACCTCTAGAGAAGGCCTTCCCCACAACTAGCAGATTTAGCCTATTTTAACCAAAGGGTCTGTCTTATTTGACTCGGCTAGCCCCTTTGGGTCTCTGAGTGACAGAGTCCTTTCTCTGTCTTTGGAAATCCCAATTCGGTTTTCTCCAGTTCTTCCTGCCGCAGCTCCAGAGCACTTACATAATGTGCTGCAGCTGCACGTGTGGTTCTAGTGCAGAGGGTGAGCTGTGACCCCTCACTGGGGGCCAGGTGAATGCACCTGGCAATGACCGAGGGTGACCTGGCACCTCCCGTGGCCAGGCCAGCTTTCCCCAGTGTCCCCCCTCACTGGAGTGGAGAGAAACGCCATGTGGAGAGGGGGGCCCGGAGGGAGCACAGAAACCCTAAGGTCCTCTCCTGTGAGGGAGTGCACAGACGCCCCAGGAGCGCTGCTGCTCCCGTCCTTCCTGTGCAGAGCTGTCACCCACTGGCTTCTGCCCGCAGTGGCTTCTCACACTGAGGCACTGGCTACTGTGTGGCCATCCACACCCTCCCTTCTGGCAGAGTCCTGCAGGGCTTGACTCAGGAGGGACGTTGGAAGTAGTAGAGCAGTTTTAGAGGCCAAAGAAGAGGCCGACATCTCAGAGCGAGGCAGTTTGGTAGCAACAAATTTGAAGCAAAGGCAACTTGTAGGCAGAAGCTCGATGTTCAGTTCTCTAGAAAGCACTTCCAAAACGTTGATGTGCAACAAAACTCAGTGTGTGAGAGGATCGATCCCCAGGGGAGCTCACTAAGCTGCAGCTTCTGATTCTGAGGTCTGGGTAGAGCCTGATATTCTGCCTTTCAGCAAGATCTGGGTGTTGTTGACCCTCAGACCACACACAGAGGCGGGTCTGGCAGAAAAGGTGCTGACCTTGGCATTGGCCATGAGGCCTGGCCGAGAGGCCGTCGTTCCTGGTGGTGAAGAATACGGACAGTGAGCCATGGTGCCTGGGTGTCAACTGGCCACTCAGTGGGTGTACGGTGTTGGGCAAACCAAGCTGAATGTCTCTGTGCCTTCGTTTCCTCATCTATAAAATGGGAACGATAAGAGTATATACCTCATAGGGCTTGAAAATTAAGTGAGAAATGTAAGACATGGAGCACAGTGCCTGGTTTGGTGGACTTAGTTGCTCATTAAATGGTAGCTGTGATTGTTATCATTTGGTGCTGAATTCAAAGTGCCACCTGCTCCCAGCCACAGCTGTAGCTCCCCTTGTCAAAGAAGAAAGGGGCTCTCGTGGGGTTACCCCCACTTCAGAGATGCCATAAGTAAATAAGTTCTAGAAAAAAGTTCTGTGGAAAGTAGCTGGGACCCAGGGTGCAGGCGCCTGTCAGTCTTACTGATAGCTTCAGATCAGAGTCCTGTGCAGCCTGTGGACTGTGAAGGAAGGCACCCCAAAGTGTGTGGCAAGGACATTCCTGAGAACCCCAGACCGAGGACCTCTGTGCTGGGTTGTGGAATCTAAGTCACCTAAGTCTACCCGGTAGGACTGGGCTTCTCACAGCCTGAGATGGGTCACTCTGGTTTTCTCTTGGAGGAGTGCTGAGGCCTGGGAGGAGGCCAGCGTCTCTCTTTTCAGCTTTCCCTGAGCACATTGGCTTTTTTCAAAGACAAATTCACAGAGGCAGAGCGGTGGGTTTGCAGAAGCAGCATTCAGCCTGCCAGTCACTGTGCCCCCTGGCGGAGCCGCCTGCTCTTCAGCTGGCACAGTGCTTCGCGGGCTCCTGTGGAATGTGGGCCCGTGGTATTTGCCACGGGGGGTGCGGGTGCCGTGTCGTGGACAGCAGAGACTCCAGGGCTGTTCTAGTTGGCAGCCGGGGATAGCCCCCTAAGACTCCGGAATGTGCTGCCGAGGAGGCTTCACTGTGCTCGAAATAAAACCGGTGACCCCAGGTGTGGCCAGGGAAGGGCGGGCCAGCCAAGGGTGGGAGCATGGGGCACCCCGGAGCCTGCTGCTCTGTCGGGCTTGGTTCCCGAGGACGGAGAGCGGGACGGCAGCAGACCAGCTGCATCAGGGCTGTGGGAGTTAGCAAGCCCAAGCACTTGAGGTCATGCGGGATCCCAGCCCAGAGCAGCCTTACGAGCCACGAAAAGGCTCAGAACTGGGCACAGAGAAGACAGCGTGGTTCAGAGTCACTTCCTCTCCTGCTTTGTCACTGAGTAGCTGCCGCTTCATTACCCTCTGGGCCTCAGTCTCCTCACCAGTAAAATGAGCCTGTTTCCCTTCAAAAAGTGTTGAGAGAATTAAAAAGAAAAAGTGTGGGAAAGGCCTATCAGACCCGTACTAACATGCCTCTGGAAAGGGGAGTGCGAGTCCCTGGGTGGAGACTGCTGTGTGCTTTTTATAATTTGAATTTTGAACCACAGGAGTCTGTTTAAAATGTTAATATCATTTAGTTTAAAACTAAAACAAGGCATTGCAAATAGCAGTTTCTTCCCTCATGGTGACCCGGCGCACAGGCAAGGTGTCTTGAGACTCAGGTGCCCGCCCCAACCCCAACCCCCACCCCCGAAGGCATGTGAGACAGCCATAGCCAAGTGCTCTCTGAGGCCTGCTCCCCACTTTGCAGCGGAGAACCGCAGGGCCACAGCCCTGGAGAGGCTGGAGAAGGAGCCTCTCGCAAAGACAACGGAGCGCTGCGGCCCACACGAGTGGACGTGGCGCGGCTGTGTGTGGGCGGCCGCGGCACCCGGCCCGTGTCACAGCACCGCGCTGGTCGCTCAGTGGCTCTCGCTTCTGTTCTCCCTTCCGAGGCTGCCCAGACCGCGTGCTGGGCAGATGTTTACACACAGGCCTGAGGCTGACAGGGCACAAGTGACTTGGCCTCTGATCACAGAGAAACGAGTGTGCGGCGCAGCTCGCGTTTATGCAGGCCGTCTGGCGCCGGGTACGGAGTGTCCTGAGCGCTTCCCAGGCCCGGTATTTGATGTTCTCTGAGGGACTCCACGAGCGAGGTCTCACCTCAACTCCACAGGGCAAACTTGGGTGGGGGGTGAGGGGCTTAGGGGGTAAGAAACTGTGAAAGTCACCTTGCCGGCCCGTGGCAAAGCCAGGGCTCCCGGGAGGCGCACTGGCCCATCTCGGCACTGCCAGGCTCGAGCCCAGGCGGCTCCGGGACCCAGAGACCAGCGCCTCCCTGCTTTATTTAGAGAGAGGAAAGTGACCTGGGTTACCACTAACAGAGCCCATGTGGACTCTGCAGGTTCCTGCTTCAGTCTCTGGAAGACTTGGACACAAGTCTGAGAAAACTGAACTCACGCCTGTTTGTAGTCCGGGGACAGCCAGCTGATGTGTTCCCGAGGCTGTTCAAGGTAAGCAAGCAGAGTCCCTGAGGAGATAGTGCGATTCTGCTCCCCAGAGCTTCCCTGTCGATTGCATAAGAAGATTCTGACTGTGAAAATGGTCAAGGCTGGTCTGTCCGCTGCTGCTGGAAAAGCCAGGAGCAAACTCAGCCAGTCAGCTTGCCAGTAGAAGGACAGACTTCTGAGAAACCATGTCTTGCTGGAAGGTTCCCAGCTCTGTCTAGCCATGGAAAGTTATTCCACCCCGGTGCCACTTTAGATGTTTTCTTGGCTCGATGCAGCTTGGCTTACCAGGCTTCTCTCCTCCAGGAGTTTGAGGGTGAGGTTTCCTGTCCTGCTCTACTTACTGAGAAAAAAGTCAGCCTTTCTGAGTGAGCTCCCTGCTCCCCCGCTTCCCCCGGGTAATGATTTATAAAGTCTTCATTTGAAGCCCACATAGGCCGCCCTTTGTTATATCAGAGCCAGCTCCCTCTTCCCCCCAACCCTCTGTTTTAGGGCCCATGCAGAGGGCAAAAGTATTCAGGGCACAGAGCTCTGGACAGTCTCCCCTCACCCTCACAGGCACACAGATATTTGTATGCCCCTACCCCCTGCAGCTTCTCCCCCTACTCTTCCTTGGGGTCAAAATAGGAGGGAGGGTCTCATTTAAGCAAGCAGCGACTAAATACTCCATCATCCCCACCCCTCGCCCCACACAGAGTGGAACCCTCGTGACGTGGGTGAGAGCCAGTGTTTGCTGAGGCCCAGAGCATCACACACCTGAGCTCGCGCATTCCTCACAGCAGCCCTGGAGGCCCCAGCCCGTCTGGCCTATGTCTCTGTAGGGCTGGGTACCGCCATCCCTGGTCTAGTCACTTGCCTGTAGTCATGGAACTAAGAAGAGGTGGCCCAAGCTTCAGCCCAGGCTCTGACTGCAGAGCTTGGCTCTTATCACCATGCCATTAAACACGCATGCCTTCCTCTGCAGTGGCCCCCACTGCCCCCCATGAGAGGCCAAGCCAGTAATAGCCCGGAGGTGCGGCTAGGTCAGCCATCCCGTCATTCAGTGCGTATGTATCAAGCCTCTGTTGTGTCCTGGGGCCCATACTAGGTACGGGGGTAATGAAGCATGAGGTGGCTTGATTTCTGCTCTGAGAGTTCACACTGATAAAGCAAATAGGCGAGCAGTGGGCCACTTCATTGCCGTGTGATAAATGCTGCGATGGAAAGGCCAGGTGCAGGAGAATCATACCGCAGAAGATCAAAAAAGGCCTCTTGGAGGAATCATTTAATGTTTTTTTTTTTATTACCTTTAGGGTTATCAGTATTGAGCAGTGTAACTTATATGAACAGCTAACCAGGGTACTTGACTCCGAATCAGAGTTGCATGAATGTTTTGTGGCAAGAGGTGACCAGCCTTGCCTAGGACCCCAGGCAGCGCTGAGTGAGAGTAAATGAGCCCAGCTATGGCCATCTGCCCGTGGGGTTCAGAGTTCTAAGGAACTATGACCAGTCTTTGGTTGGAATGTGGTTTCTGTAGGCTCTCTGTACAACCTTTCACGGGGCCAGCATTCCTAAGAAATATGGAAATTTCTACTGGAAATGACTGAAGACTTGGAAAAGAGCTCCCTTCTCTTTTTAACACATGGCCCCTCTCATCTGACTCCTCTGACTTCTGGACTGAGAACTGTTTCTTTTTCTCCAGCTCTGAGAACTGGAGCCTATTAGCTCTGCTTGCTGCTGGCCTCTGGAGTGTTGCTGTGGAAACCATGAGGATACTTCACTTAGCACAAGTCTGCCAAGAAAACTAGGGCAGGAGTTTGCAGGGCTGTGAGAAACCTGGGAAAAGCTTGCTGAGCAGGCAGGAGGTGGCAGCCCTGTCCCCGCAGCCTCACCAGTGAGTCAGTGCCTCTTTCTGAGCCTGGGGGCTCCCCCGAGAGCATTGTATTTATAGCTTCCTGCTGTTTTCTCCGCCTCAAGGACACGCCAGTGCACTGGCCTACCCAGCTCCCTCCTGACAGAGATGCCACTGGCCAGGCTCTCCTGTCTCCCGACTGCTCCCTGGCCCTGCCTCTCCGTGGCGGTCTGCTGTGAGCTGACTGCTTTCTGGCTCAGAGCACCGTCCCTGGTTGCCTCTGCAGCCCACTCTGACATGTCTCTGGGCTTACTCCGATCCCTCCTAGGAAGGAGTGAGTGCCTAGCTTCTCCCGCCTTCCCGAGCACAAAACAGCATGACAAATTCAATCCCCACAGGAATGGGGGGTGACCCGCTTGACCTTCGAGTATGACTCCGAACCCTTCGGGAAGGAACGGGATGCTGCCATCATGAAGATGGCCAAGGAGGCCGGCGTGGAGGTGGTGACTGAGAACTCGCACACACTCTATGACCTGGACAGGTGAGAGCGGCATCCTGGGCTGAGTCTCTGATTGTGGGCACTGGGAACTCGGGCCTCTGCTGTACAGAACTCTGGGCGGGCCAGCAGTAGTGCCACCTGCATGTGAGGGTGGCATTTCTGTCAGTTGGGTCACACCGAGCTTATCCAATTTGGCTGCAAAGAGGCTTATATAGCCCCCAGAGCATGAGGAACCCCACTGAGGGAATCAGAGATTTGTTCCTTATTGGCACCAGGCCCAGCTGCTGCTCAGACTCCCCAATTCCAGCCTCAAAGACTGCCCTCCTGAAAGGCGCCCTCTGGCCTCAGTGTGTTACCTCTTCCAAGAGTCCTCTGTTCTCACAGGCCCAGTTTCTGTACCTGGGGCTAGTTCTGGGCCTCCCCTGACATACGGGTCTGCAGACCATGCGTTAGATGTCACCCAGCAGCTTCTTCTCGAGATCCCTAGAGGGAGCTGATGAACACAGAGTGGCGCCTTCCCTGATGCCACGCCTCTGTCTTGGAGAAAACCTGCTCCCTCCCTTCCCAGGCAGAGCTGGCACCCTCCTGCTGCCCAGTCAGCAGCCGCCACTTCCCGCCTGTGGGCCCTCCCTGCCAGGAGGCGGGCTCACACAGCCCTGCACGTGAGCTCACGGGAGAGCGCCTGGGTGCAGAGAGCCTCCTCCACCACGCGCCACACAAGGGGGAGGCGCTGTGGGCGGCAGCCAGCCTGACATCCACCCTAAGGCTCGTACTGGACACTGAGGAAGGAGCTCATCTGCCAGCTCAGCTCGGGCTGCAGAACTGCTTCTTGGTCATGAAGAGCCTGGGAATCTGGCCCCAGACACTGCTGCTCATCTCACTTGAACAGCCTCAGTGCCCCCTTTCCACTCCTCTGTCTCTCCGATAACTTTTCTGAATTTACTTGAGCAGCCTTTAAATGTTAGTTGCTGCTCTTAACTGCTGCTCCAGTCCCTGATGTAGGGAGGTTGGCTGTTCTCCACCTCCCTGTTCTAGTAAACAGGGACCATGAAGGGATGATTTTCCCAGACAGGAACATGTTTGTGGAAGTTCTGATCAAGGAACTTTCTCCAGGCTTCCCTGGGATCAAGGTTGATCCACGGGACTCTGTGAACCAGCAGAGAGGCCGAGTACCAACATGGCTGGGGGGGTTTCTGTGATTAAGAGGTAGGGTCCGTCTGTCTTTCGGCGGCTCCGTGTGGATACCGGGGAGCCTGGAGTTGAGTCCCAGCTTTGGCCCTGCCTTGCTCCAGCTCTCTTTCCCTCCTGGTAAAATGGATATGTAACCTCCCTCAGCCCCGCCTTGCCATTTAAGGGTGGGACCCACTAGTGGATGTGGAAAGCCACCTTGTAAGCCCTCAGGGTCTGGGTGGGCAGGAACCGGAAACAGAGCCCTTGGCAGTGACGTCAGCTGTGCTTTGGGGTTCCCAGGATCATCGAGCTGAATGGGCAGAAGCCGCCCCTCACCTATAAGCGCTTCCAGGCCATCATCAGCCGCATGGAGCTGCCCAAGAAGCCCGTGGGCTCTGTGACCAGCCAGCAGATGGAGGGCTGCCGGGCCGACATCCAGGAGAACCATGACGAGACCTATGGTGTGCCCTCTCTGGAGGAGCTGGGTGGGTGCTTCCTGCCCCGGGCATCTTAGGCCCGCACTGACTTCTTTGTAACATCGCTTGTTTTCTTTTTTGTCAGTCACTGTAGACAATTTAAAAATCCAGAAAGGTGAACATAGAAAATAAAAATCTCTGTCATCCCACCAGCTGGAGAGAACCACTCCAGAGAGAATGATTTTGGAGTGTGCGCTTCCACTTTTATTTCGTTTTTTTCTGTTTATGCTCATAGCTGGAATTTTCTGTTTCCAGTCCATACCTTAATTTTTATTCTTTCCCCTCTCAGTATATAGGCACACTGGTCACCTGGTCTCTGAGTACCAGTGGAACCAGTATTGCTTCTGTGGAAAGGTCTGTCAACCTCTGAAGTTAACAGAAGACACCCTTTCTGCCCCCATCCCATTTTTAAAAGCTAAACTAGCTCTCTTATCTGAAAACCACAACCATGGTCAACTCACCTGGAAGAGAGGGAAGGCTAAGGTTGTTCTCTGATGCCTGAATGATGAGTAGCTGGAATGGGGAAGGCCAGAGAATAAGGAAAGAGCGGCGAAAGCAGGGATGACCCAGAAAACCCTAAATGGTTAGGCACTGCCTCAGCCCCAGAACACACAGTTCAAAAAATAAAGACTGGCTGCCATTCAGCCCCCACAGAGATTAGACCAGCTGTCAAGACTTGCCGAGCACCCCCTGGTGCAGCTGCCCTCCAGCCCTGTGACCTGTTCTCCCTCTTTCATGTAGGGTTCCCCACGGAAGGACTGGGTCCAGCTGTATGGCAAGGAGGAGAGACCGAAGCACTGGCCCGCCTGGATAAGCACTTGGAACGGAAGGTATGCCCGTTTCTGAGACGCACAGCTTCAGAGCTGATGCTCACCCAGAGGGTGGCACAGGTGTGTGTGTGTTGGGGGGGACAGGGTCCTTCTCTGTGCCTGCACGCCTCGGGCTCAAATAGGGCAAAAGAAAGGAAATAGGCTGGCGATGGGCATAGCGAGTACGTAGCAGTGCATCTGGGTTGCTGGTCACTGGCTGAGCCCCTGGGTTAAGCGCCTGCTTCCATAACTTTCCATCACTTCCGCTCATCTTCCCAACAGCTTGGCAAGGTAAGCGTTAAGCTCTCCATTTTACAGAGGAGGAATTAGCTTAAATAACTTGCCTGAGATCACACAACTAGTGCTAGAAGGAGTTCTTGTCCTATGAGACTCTAAAAATCATGCTAGATGGCATTTCTTTCATCAGAGGCAGGTTTCTTTACTCTGAGAGGTATTTGGTGATCAGTAAAGCCCAGAAAATTAATTGTTTTGTGCTTATGTGTCCCCTCATCTTTCGCCAGATCTCCTAGGCATTGATTTCCATTTGCTTGGACACAGAGCACAAATGGCTCACTTCCCAGTGAGGCGGGGCTTGGCCAGGGGAGGGAAGGGGACAAGGCTGCAGAGGCGCGTCTCGCCGGTGCCACGTGTTCCCCACCGCCCTGAGACGGGGCAGGGAAGGTTCTCATGGCTTTCAGCGGTCAGCTCCCAGCTTCCTGTCGCTGTGCACTTGGGTTAGAGACTGGCCCCTGAGACCTCAACTTTTTCTAGTCCTGTTACTCATTTGGGCCGCAACCAGGCAGTAACGCACGGAGGCAGAGGCAGGCGGGAGCACTGTGCGGCCACAGAGGCGCCCTGCCGCAGGCCCATCCTCCCCGGGCCTAGTGCCCAGATGTGCCCTCTGGGTGTTACCCTCAGCCTGGGCTGAAAGCGAGCCCCACGTCATAAGAGGGTGAAAACTGTTGTCCAAGGGATATGGGGGACCAGCTCCCGCTGTCCACATCAGTTTTACCCAGAGATTTGGGACCTCACTGTGGAGACAAGGCTGGGCCAAGGGACCAGAATGGCAGACGTGACAGATGTGGTGGCAGCAGTAGAATAAGACTTAAAAATGCGAAGAGCTGGCTCTGGGCCCATAGGTTGTTTACGTCTTAAAAGCTTTTTGTAGAGAAGTACCCTTAGATTGCAGAGCGGGGAGCTCCTTTTCCACCTACCCCTGAAGGCCTCTTCTGTCTGCCCTCATCTTTACCACTGGGTGACCCCCTAGTAAGTGAGGATCGGTAAGTCTCTATAAAGGTATCCCTGTTCTTAAGTGAAAAAGTAACAGTGGCATTTGAGGATCACCACTTTGTACCCCTAGTGGTGCTGCACGATACATGGATGGCTTCTTACCCCATAAGGAGACAGCAGTTATGTCCCCGCGGGCTGGCAGAGAGGTCAGGCTTGAGTCCAGTCTCTGCTTGCAGCCAGAGACTTGCAGTCACAGTGTCCGACAGAGAGACGCATGGAACTGCCCCAGGGAGACCGTCAGTGAAATCTGGGTTCTGAGGCCCAAGTCCAGTCAAAAGGCCTGGGTTCTTTTAAACATAAAAGAATGTAATGACAGGAGGTGTTTAGAGGATAAGAAACTCAAATGATATATAAAAAAAAAGTTTCTTTAAATGGCTAAGGCTCATACAGTACCTGGGGGTGCATATCTGAATGTGGGGGAAAAGCACACTAAAAATGCAAGAAGCAACTGTAAGATGTGCCTTCCAGGTGTGCTTCGCGAAAACAGAAAAATGTAAACATTTATAATGCAAGGACATGATTATTTTAAAAGCTGGTTGGTTGAGTGGTTATTTATGGGCTAGAGGGGGCTTACAGAATCAAGCACATGGACGGCCCCGGAGTGGCTGGCAAAATGCTGGTCCTTGAGCTTTGGTAGGTCTACCTTGATGTTTACCTTAGAATAGGTCACTGGGCCGCAATCTCTGTGACTTGGGTGTGTGTGTTTTACTTAAAATATTTTCAAAGTGACATGGGCATGGATGTAAGCAGGCAAATAAGTGTTGTGTCTGTTAGAGGTGCTTTAACCTACCTCACAGATTACCTTCTAAGGAGGTTACCTTTAAGCTAACTTGAAGGAAGAGCCATAATTAACCAAAGTAACAATCTAAGTATCCATCGATGAATGGATAAAGAAGACGTAGCGTATAATCCTGCGTGTCATAACATTCTGTCAGTATTGGACCATTATACAAAGCGATCTCTCTCTACAGCCTATGTGTGTAGTAGGCTACACCAAATTCGTCTGTGTGAGTTCACACAGTGACAGATTCACCTAACAGTGCATTTTTTAGAAACTATCCCCATTAGTAAGCAACACGTATCTGTGCATGTGTGTATACTGTGGAATATTGCATGGCCATAAAAAAGAATGAAAACTTGCCATTTGCAGCAACATGGGTGAATCTTGAGTGTAAGAGGATAAAGGGAACGTGAGCTACATTGTTACCACAAATTATATAGCAGAATCAGGACTAGAATGTGGGCACACGCTAGGTCCCTCAGTAGTGTATTTCAGTAGGTCGGCCTGTTCTGCTCCCCACTCCGTTCCTGGTGAATCTTCTCTGGCCTATACCCCAGCTCTTCTATGCATAAATAAATAAAACTTTTTAAAAATCATTAAAAATTACAAAGAATATTGGCCACATTGTTTGGCTTGGTGATGGTTCCATGGAAAACTCTACTGGCGTGCAGGAATGGAACATCCAAGTGCTGGCCCCTGGGCTCTTCTGTGACTTTAAATGAATTCCTCACCACCCGGCCCTGCAGTTTCCCCTTTCCTTTCTGCACCTTCTCTGCACGCAGGCCTGGGTTGCCAACTATGAGAGACCTCGAATGAACGCCAACTCCCTGCTGGCCAGCCCCACGGGCCTCAGCCCCTACCTGCGCTTCGGTTGCCTGTCCTGCCGCCTCTTCTACTACCGCCTGTGGGACCTGTACAAAAAGGTGAGGGGCACACCCACCCTCTGGTGGCCAGCTGGGACAGGGTGTTCTAGGTCAGTCAGTGACCCTGAAAAGGGGCTGGGACAGACAGTTGTAGGCCCGGGGCGTCAAAGTGCGAGTCTAATCCAGAAAAGGTGGGGCAGAGTCCATATCCACAGGCTGGCAGAGCCCCAAGAGCAGTGTGAACAGAGATAAGATCCAGGTCCCCGCAGAGCAGGACAGGAAGAAAAGCCGCCTCAGGACGTGACCCCGGAGGTGCCAGTGCACTTGGCAGCAGCAGACCAGACTGGGGCGCACTCGGCTGGGAGCGCGAGGTGCACAAGCGGGAGCCAGGCCTAAGCTGGGGAGCGGCGCCCTGCCTGGGGCTGGGCCAGAGCAGCAGAGTGCTCCCAGCAGCCGCCACCTCAGACGAGGGCACGACTCAGGCTGCAGGCAGGTCTGCCTTACTCGGAGCAGGCCCGCCCCACCCCCCGACGCTGTGTGGATTGGCCTGCAGCACCCCGCCTCCCGTTTCACCAGGACATCCTGGTGTCCACGTGACTGCACGTCTCCAGCCAGGTGGCTGGCACGGGACGGCTTTGCCAGTTTCGTGGTTCGTTTTGTGATTTTTAAGGACATCATTGTTTACTGTTTCTCCTGGCTCCCAATCCAGCCTGCTGTATGTGACTCGCTGTGTGCCGGTGGGGAAACTCCCTTTGACATTCTGGCCAGCGGAGCCAGACGGGATCCCTTGGGGGCAGGGCTCCTGAGCCAGGCATGGGGTGTGGCTCGCGGTGTGGCGTCCTTCCTGCGGATGCCTCCTGCCGCCCAACTCCACAGCCACCCTCAGGGCCGTAGCACCTCGTGACTGGGCCTGGGCCGCCAGGCCGCAGGTGCAGGGCACCTCCTGGGGACCCATGGTCCTCCACCCCCACATCCACGTGGGCTGGGAGCCACCACATTTGTGGGTGAGGCGGTGCCGAGGGCTGGACAGGTACTATCCATGTGCTGCTGCTCCCTCACCAGGTGAAGCGGAACAGCACACCCCCGCTCTCCCTCTTTGGGCAACTTCTGTGGCGAGAGTTTTTCTACACGGCAGCTACCAACAACCCCAGGTTTGACCGCATGGAGGGGAACCCCATCTGTATCCAGATCCCCTGGGACCGCAACCCCGAGGCTCTGGCCAAGTGGGCCGAGGGCAAGACAGGCTTCCCTTGGATTGACGCCATCATGACCCAGCTGAGGCAGGAGGGCTGGATCCACCATCTGGCTCGGCACGCCGTGGCCTGCTTCCTCACGCGCGGGGACCTCTGGGTCAGCTGGGAGAGCGGGGTCCGGGTGAGTGCTCGCTCAGCGGGAGCCTGGCCGCGCCCTCTCAGTCAGCCCAGCCTCTGGGCAAGGGCAGGCTCCTCTGGGCTGGGGGCGGGGTGAACCCCTGCCAGCCTTCCTGGGCTGGCCCTCAGCACAGGACGTGGCTTTCCCCTCGGGGGCACTGTGGGGCCTGGGTCAGCTGGGAGCCTGGCAGTAGGTCCTCGAGGAGGCCGACTGTCCCGCGCCCACGCAGGTGTTCGACGAGCTGCTCCTGGACGCAGATTTCAGCGTGAACGCAGGCAGCTGGATGTGGCTGTCCTGCAGCGCCTTCTTCCAGCAGTTCTTCCACTGCTACTGCCCCGTGGGCTTCGGCCGCCGCACGGACCCCAGTGGAGACTACGTCAGGTGAGGGTGCAGACCAGGCTCTGACCTCTGATCGCGTGGCCCCTCAGAGGAGGTGCTCTTGGCGCTTAGGAGGAGGGGCCCGGTGGGCTGACGGGCTGTCGGCTGTGTTTCAGACGATACCTACCCAAATTGAAAGGCTTCCCCTCTCGGTACATCTATGAGCCCTGGAATGCCCCCGAGTCCGTTCAGAAGGCAGCCAAGTGCGTCATCGGTGTGGACTACCCGCGGCCCATCGTCAACCACGCCGAGACCAGCCGGCTCAACATTGAGCGAATGAAGCAGATTTACCAGCAGCTGTCGCGCTACCGGGGACTCTGTAAGGAGCCACTGCCCACCTCGGCCCCACCCCTCCTGCCCGCTCACTGAAGGGAAGAAGGACAGCACTGAGGGCTCAGCCAGGTACTCGTCCAGGGAGACCAAGCGCTCCCTTCCAGGCTTTTACACAGACTTGACTGCCCGGGCCCAGGGCCCTGCCGGCTGGGCTGGGTCAGCCTCTGAGCAGTAGCGGTCAGGGGAGGAGACGGACCTAACTGTCACTGCCGCCGGCCCCTGCTTTGTTTTCTCCTGCTCCTCCCGCCGAGGCAGCTGGAGATTGCGCCTGATTACTCCCTGCCTCCTCCCAGGTCTCCTGGCGTCTGTCCCCGCCTGTGTGGAAGACCTCAGCAACCCAGTGGCAGAGCCCAGCTCGAGCCAGGCTGGCAGCACAAGCAGTGCAGGTGGGTAGCAGTCGGCCCGCCAGCGCTCCTCCACCCCACTCCAGCCCCTGAGGCTGGACACAGGCTAGAATGGCGGACCGCGGGGGGCAGCGCTGAGGACTAGAACTCTGAGTGACCTGCTGAGAGAGGGCTTGGGGAAGGGTTTTCTTTCGATGGGAGCCCAGAGGTGCCGCTGCTGGGACCTGGAAGTGAGCAGGCGCCGGGGAAGAGCATCTAGGCCAAGGGCACGGCTGGAAGAGGCCGAGAGAGGGACGCGCTAGGCCGAGGCTCAGCCGGCCAAACCCAAGCGAGGGGGCGGGACGCTGGGGATCCCATTGCTGTGTGACCAGGGCTGACCAGAGCAGGGAAGGCACTGAGCAGCGGCGGCAGGTCAGGGTGCGGTCTGCTTGGAGACGGTGTGGGGTAGGGGAGAGCGGGCAGGAGCCCCAGAGAGGCGAGGAAGGAGCTGACTGCTGTGGGGGGGCGGGGGCGCAGCAGCACCTCGGGTGGTGACAGGAGAGACAGACAGACCTACCTCTTCTCTGGGATGAAAGTCAGTGACAGACTGGTGGAAACTCCAGCTTTCTAGTTTGCCCAGCCAGGCTGGCTCCCTGTCCGGGCTCTCACCCTCCCTTTGGGGCTGGCCCAGGTCTCAGAGGCAATGACCGCCTCACCCCCAGACCAAGGACAGCAGGAAAGACAGGTCAGCCTGAGGCCCATGGGACCAGGGGTTCAGAACAAGCACTGCGGCCCCCAGGCCTGCGCGGGGCCCCTGGGACATTCCGGTGAGGTCACTGCGGCAGGGGACCGTCAGAGGCAGGTCTGAGGAGCACGCCACTGGCACCGCCTCGGTGAGCAGGCTCTGTCCCAGAGCGCCTCCCCTGCACCGCCCAGGCTCATTTTGGCCATGCGCTGACCATCGGACGTGCTTCCCCGCAGGCCCACGACCACTCCCCAGCGGCGCAGCCTCTCCCAAGCGCAAGCTGGAAGCCGAGGAGGAGGCCCCTGGTGAAGAACTCAGCAAACGGGCCAGGGTGGCGGGGCTGCCCACCCCAGAGGCGCCCGGCAAGGACGTCTGAGCGTGAGTCACAGACCGGCTGTAGGGGAGGCGGGAGTGGGTTTGCAGGGTCCGTCAGCTAGAGTAACAGCCAGTGGGGACTGCCCTACTGGAGGGTTTCAGCTCAGCTCAGACTACTGCACCTTCTAAAATTTGTCTTTGACAGCTAAGGAAATAAATTTTCTTTTTGCCTCTTTCTACCTCTGCAAGGGAGCCAAACCCAACACAACAAAGCGGAGACCTCAGTCAGGCTGAGAGAGACTGCCCTGTCTGGGCCTGAGGGCAGCCACGGGAGGCGCCACTCACCCTCGCCAGCGCTGCAGTGCTGCGCTCCCAGCCCCAGGCCCCACCTCCCCATCGTTCTGCTCCTTCTAGCTACTCTTCCACCGGCTTGACTGAGCTTGCCTGGCAATGCGCCTCTCTCTAGGAAGGCCCCTGAATGCAGAGAAACAAAACTGGTGCCTCCTTTCCCAAAGCAGGCAGGGCCTTTTCTGTCTAGGTGGGAAAATGTGGATTCTGGTCCTCTTTGAGTGTCTCCGTCTGTTCTTTCTTCGCTGAGTGCTTGAGTTGGGGCTGGGGAAGGCTCTCATCTCCTCCTGGGAGCTCCTTGATGCTCTTCCCCAAACTCTTGCACTGAGGGCAGGTGGGGCTGTTCTGGGAGGGTCAGCTGGGAGGTGGCCAGTGTTTGCCTCTCGCGCCCTTTACTGGACTCTGTCTCGGACACCGCCGATGGACACGTGGGCTGTCTTGTTCTAGGAGCACTGACCTTGGATTACGTTCTCTTAGTTACGTAGCTCTGTGACACTGAACAAGTTCCGTTCTGCCCTGCAAATCAGGAACTCGCCAGGCTAGTGCTCTGATGCTTCAGGTGAGAAGACCAGACTGGAGAAGTGGGGTGTCTGGGTCAGAATTGCCCAGAAAGCTGAGGGCAGTTGTTCCAGGTGAAGACCACAGGGCCTGGGGCAGCGCCTCTCTTACCTTGCAGCCCTGGCGGAGGGACGGGAGCGGGCGCGGGGCTCAGAGTGCTTGGGCAGGTGAGACACCCTGAGGCGGGCTGGGGAGCCCCTTGCCTGGGGGAGGCTCTGAGGCGAAGCCACTGCGCTCACTGTGCACTGGCAGTGCCGCCCGGGCCAGATGTGCCGCCCCCTCATCTGGGAGACAGCGGTGCCAGCGACTCGCCGCTGGGTGCACCCAGCATACATTCAGGGAAGGAAACAAAAACCATGCGTGAGGAGCCTTTGACATGCAGGTAAAATCACACGCACCTCCTGCAAGCTCCTCGGGGTGTCTAGTGGTGTGACTGGAGTCGGAACCAGTACACCGGCTGCAGCGGGGGAGGGGGCCGCCCCCTCCAGCACACCCCTCCGCTCCGCTGGAGTCAGTGGTATGACACGGGGCAGGATACAGGTGGGTGCTGCAGCCCCACGTGTGAACGATGGATCCTTGCCAGCCCACAGCCTCCGGCCTGGACTTTCTGAGGACCCCTTTAGCTGAGCATTGGAGTCTTGCAACTGTTATTTCTGTGTTTTTTAAAGATTTATTTATTTATGCACACAAGAACTGGGGTACAGGCCAGAGGTGGAAGGGCGGTGAGCGGATTCACCAGAGACAGTGGGGAGCAGAACAGACAGATCGTCGAAGTACACTGCTGAGGGGAGCAGCAGGCCGGTCAGGAGAGGTCTGCCACAACCCGGGTGTCAGCTCCCTGGCCAGGGATCAAACTCCTGCTGTGGAGAGCTTCATCGTGCTGCGCCTTAACCCCTTGTGCTGCCAGGGAGGCCCTGGCTCTGTTATTTCCAAGGCCTGGCTCTGTGGCAGGAGATCACAGCTTATACCGACGCTGCGCGGAAGCACGCCCTCACGTGTTCCCCGCTGGCTTCAGCCCAGACCGGTGTCTGTTCTGTCTTTGGTTTTACCACATCGTGTTCACTAAACTGAAAAACAAGCCACTTCCAACATCTATTGTTTCAGCCTCTTCTCCATATCCCAAAGTCGCTGACTGCTCTGTATTTGCTGGCCTCGAACCGCGTACAGAATTTTCTCCTTGGCCCAGTTATGTTACCGTAAGGGAGGCAGCTTCCCTGCCTTAGTCCCTCCTGTTGGTCGTCAGTGACCTTTGGGAAAAGCGTGCGCAGGCCATGGTGGGGAGCCCCACTTCTCCACAACTTCTCCAGGGCCTCTTTGACTCTCCTTGCCGGAAGCCAGCCAGCAGGGGTGAGGCGGCTGTGCTGTTCCGGGTGTGGAGTCTGGAGGAAGAGCCTGCGTCACACTCAGGCCAGCGTCTGCCTCCCAGCCTGCTGCTCAGACACCAGTCGCCTCACCTCTCTGGCTCTTTCTTCCTGACCTGAAAATGAGAAGTTGGGACTGTGCCCTGCCTTTCCCCTGGCACTTAGAGCGAGGCTGTTGACTTGTTTGATGCCGGGTGTGCTTAAGGCGCCTCAGCTCAGCACCACCCCCACCCCCCTCTCCCTTCTGCAGGCTCCCTATTCT